TTCTGTTACATAACCACAGTTAAATTATCAAAATCAAAAAATTTACCACTGATATAATACTATTACCTAATCTGTTATCCACAAAATTCCTCAATTGTCTCAGTAATGTTCTTTTTAAAATAAAATTTTAATTTTGGGAAAATTTTAGATTTACCAAAAAGTTTCAAAGATAGTATAGAGAGTTCCCATATACCCCTCACCTATTTCCCCTAATGTTAACGTCTTATGTTACCAGAGTACAACTAAGAAACCCATATTGGTGCATCACTATTAACTAAACTCCAGCATTTATTCATATTTCACTAGTTTTTCCATGAATGTCCTTTTTCTGTTCTAGGACCCAATCCAAGATATGACATTGCATTTAAACCAATAATGTTCTTTTTAATAAATTTTTTTTCCAGTCAGGATCCAAACCAGGATTACCTGCTATATTTAGTTGTCATATTTTTTAGACTCCTTTAATCTGGAACAATTCCTCAGCCTTTCAACTTCTTTCACGACATTGATATTTTTGAAGAGTACAGGCCAGTTATTTTGTAGAATGCCCCTCAGTTTTGTTTGGTCTGATGTTTCCTCATAATTAGATTCAAGTCACGCATTTTTGGCAAGTATATCACAGAAGTGATACTGTTCTCAGAATTTCATGTGAGGAGACACAGTGTCGACTTGTCTCATTATTGGTGATTTTAACTTTGATCACTTGGTTAAGGTGGCATCCACCAGTCTTCTCCATTGTAAAATTACCATTCTTCCCTTTGTAATTAAGTAATTAGCAGGGGAAATAATATCCTGTTTTTCATCAAATTTTCACTAGAATGCTTGTTTTAACTCTAAATCTGTTAATCTATAGGTTTCCTTCCATCTTTTTTTTTTTTTCCTTCTTGAAAATTTTTTGCCAAAGAAACCAGTTCTTTGTCTTATTGAAATTCCCCCAATCTAGACTTTTCAGGCCATGGTCTCTTCAACCCACCCCAAATAGGCTTTTCCCCATACCACTCCACTGAAACTGTTCTTGTCAAGGTCACCAATAAATTCTAATTGCCACACCCAATAATAAATTGTCAGTCTTAATTATCAAGAGTTTTGGACACACTGTATCACTCCCTTCTCCGACACACTTTTTTCACTTGGCTTACAGGATCCACACTCGCCTCGTTCTCCTCCTAGTTCTCTGATTTTCCTTTCAGTCTCTTTGCTGATTTCTTCTCATCTTTATAACCTTTTAACTTGGAAATATACCAGGGCTCACTCCTCAGACATCTTCTCTCTCTATACTCCCTTCATTGGTAACCTCATCTGTCTGATGGTTTTAAAATCTATATAACGATAACTCCCACATTTATTTCCTGTAGACGTCTTCTTCGAACTCAAGAATATTTGCCCAACTTCACCACTTGGATGTCTGTAATAGCACCTCAAACTCAACATGTTCAAACCTGAGGTCCTGATCTCCCTCTCTCTCTCTAGATGTGCTCCTCCAGCAGTGTTCTCCATCTCAGCTGATGGCAATTCCATCCTTTCACTTGCTCAGACCCCAAACTTGGGAATCATCCTTGAGTCCCCTTTTTCTCTCATACCTTACATACAGTCTGCAATAAATCCCATAGACTCTCCCTTCAAATTAGACTTTGAATTCAATTACTTCTCACTACCTCTTCTGCTACGATTTGGTCCAAGCCACCATCATCTCACTTCTTGATTATTCTCATAACGTCCTAACTGGTTGTACCCTTGCTCCCCTCTAGTTTTTTCTCCACACAGCAGCCACAGTGATCTTATTAAAACTTGAGATCATGCCACTCCTCTGCTCAAAATTCTTTTGGCTTCTATTTTCTCTCAGAGGAAAAGCCAGTCCTTACATTGATTGCAAGGCCCTCCACAGACTGGGCCCTCACCCCTCCTTACCTCTCTGTTACTCTCCCATCTCCAAGCACATGGCCCTCCTTGCTGTTCTTTAAATATATTTGGTACTTTCTGCCTCAGGTCTTTGTTCTAGCTGTTTCCTCTACCTAAAACTCTTTTTCATCTGGCATGAGTTTGCAACTTCATTTCCTTCAGGTCACTTCCTTCCTTTCTTCCTTGAGGCCTTCCTTGACTACTCTATTTAAAATTGCAACCCTCCACTACTTCCTATCCTCTTTCATTGTGCTGTTTTTCTCCATAGCACTTATTAGTATCTAATAAAATAGAACATTAGCTCCATGAGGGCAGGTATTTTTGTCTGCTTTGTTCATTACTGCACATCTAGAACAATGCCTGGAAATAAGTATCCATATGCCAGCTACAGAAAAGGCTATTGGTGGAAGAATGACCTTTCAAACCTTTCCATGTTCTGGAAGCACAGCCTGTCCACTTTTAATACTCCCCCCAGTCTTGTTTTCATAGATAGGTGTTCTTTTCTGTGAGCAGCAGAAAAATGACCATTTTCCAGGCAAGACGTCCATCTATCCAGTCATTTCTTCATTCCAATTCCACTTCGTTTTCCGGTGAATTTGCA